AATTCACCTTTCAAAATGCGGGACCCTCGCAGACTATATTGAACTTGAATGACCGCCGATTAAAAGTAGTTTGTGGGTGCCTTGTGAATTCACTTAAACAAACGAGATTTAACCTTCCTTCCTACCCCATCCTTCCTTTCCTTTCCTGGCAAGACACGACTCTCGCCTCCCTGTTGGTTCTTGCTGGACAATAAAATTTAATTTTAGACCTGTTTTTATAAGCATAATTAAGTACTTGTGCTTATAAAATATTTGTAGCAATTTTTAACAAAACTGTTATATTAGAAGAGAAAATTATTATTTATTGACTGAGAAGAGTTCATTTATATTAAATAACTCAAAGACAACCCATTTTCCTTGTTTTTGTTTTTTTAATGGTCAGTTTTATACGTATAATTTTCGGTAATACACAATTTTTGTTTGCATTTATGCAAATATTACGTATTTTGCTTTAAATAGGTGCGATACCCCAAAAAATGTTTGCGCCTCCGGCGGGCTTTTCTGTGTGTATATAGTCTTTATGACTTTAGCCTCCCCTGTTCTCCAACGCACGAGCCGTCACTGGATGGCAGGATACTTAGGCAACAAAAAAGCTCACAAATGTGCCAGAAAAAAAGGGGGGAAAACACAGTATGCCCACAGGGTTGTAGTATTTTCTGTAGGCTTAGAACTGGACAAATCAAACGGCTTCTGAATAGTAGGAAAAACATGCATTACATCAATTATTTTTTTGTAAACTATGTAAATTTAAAAAATCACAATATTTTTCACAAAGTCCACAATGCTCTTTACCAAATTACTGCTTCTCAAGTAATATGAACCTGATGTTTTGTATTACTTTTTTTTTAATACAGGAATTTTAGCGCTTCAGAACCACTTTTGCTTCACGGATATACCTTCATTAACTTAGCAAAAAGTTGGTATAGATTTCTTTGTTTATAACAATCTGGAAAAAGTATGATTTTCATAATAATAATAAATTTATTCACAACGGGTACAGGACCTGACTACAGGAAATGCTTAAAAACTAACTTTCCAAAAACTATAAGATATTGCTAGCGTTAAGTTTTAAGTAATTGATGTCACTAGAATGGCAAACTGTATGAACCGATGGGTTCAAGGAGAAACTTGAAACTGCATTTTTTATGAAGGATAGATAAATCTCTGGGTCTTCTCCTGAGACAAGTTGATGTACTGCTCGCAGTACTGGTAGTTGAAGTAAATACGGAGCTTGAAATTGACATAATTAAAAAAATAGTGACTAGTTCAATATTTAGTAAATGAACGTTTTAAAGTGGATTCCAGATAAGTAAATAGTATTCAAGGTGTGCTCTTTCAAAGCCACAATATAATGTTTTCAGGGATTCAAAGTTTGTGAAATCAGCAGTAAAAGTTTTGATAAATCCCAAAATCTTCAGGGCCTTGTTTATGATGGAGGAAATATGCCTATTGAAACTCAAGTTAGTTTCTAAAACGACACCTAAGTCTGATGTTGGAAACAGAATCCATTACCAAGTTATATTAATATTGTATTCAAAGAATAGTGGCATTTTAAAAAGATAAATTCTCATAAAATGGTGTTTATCGACATTCATGAGGCATCATCACAAGACATTATCCTAGTGAATAACTTGAGGTCATAGGCAAATAAAAGAATTGAATACATTGAGCAATAGTGGGCCCAAGTAAGAACCTTAAGGAACACTACTACATATGTGGACATGAAGTTATTAACTCTAATAATTTGAGTTCTTTCTATAAGGTGATCTGCAAAAAAAACCCGAATTCCTACATTTTGAAAACATACAATTTCATCTCATCTCGACTCTTACCAAACTATTTTTCAACCTCCACATCTCTGATCGCCCCATGTATTGGTCTTTGAAAGTTAGTTCTATCGAATCCAAGGCGACGTCCGCTGGATTAACAATATTAACGATCACATTTTTGAAGGTTTGTAATCCAAAAGCAGTTACAATGCTCTGTTCCACGCTGATGGTCTGTGTTTGCAAAACATCATCAGAAAACGCTTTGATTTGAAGCAACAGCCTGGGATAATCTTCTTCAGGCTCTGATTTACTTTTGTTTTTCTGGTTGTCCTCCTCCGTGTATGGATGGTATATTTCAACAATGTCATTTTTCTTGGCCTCCGGATAATCTTTTTGATTTATGATCAGGTCTTCCTCTGGAATACAAAATAGTTTAGTTTCACGGTATTGAAATCCAGTAAATACTTATCCACCCTTGAGAATATATTTCATTACAGAGGGTGAGTCACGAGTGATGAGACGTTCCCTTATAGCTAAACGAAACATATTTACAATTTTTTTCATGACACGAACATACAGGTCACTTGTAGCAATGTTTCAAAATCATTTTCCAATATAAAGAGTGCCCCTGAAAAATCTAGTACTAGTTTTTTGGGATACATTCTGAGAAGACTTTCATCAGTATCTTTGAAAAACCCCATTTTATATGTATTCAAAGAGTCGTAAATTTGGCTCAGAAAAACAAAATGTGATATCAGCCATTCTCATACGATAAAAAGTCTGTTTCTTATTCAAAGTAACCTTTTTCAATCATTCATCATTAGTTTACTGATAATCAACAAAACTCACCACTGAAAGTCTTTTGATGGACTTTCAACCTTAATGATTTCATATCATTAGTTGTAGACATTGTTTAACTATTCCTCAGACTATTATATTTCATATGGTAACATAATATGAAAAGGTTCAAAACTGTATTTCTCAAAAACTTTCCATCACAAAATAACAAAAATTGAAAATAATATTATTTATCAACAACTTTTCAACATTTTGACAGATAAGAAACATGACAATATAACCCCAAATATTCTTCTTCTATTCTTGATAAGAAAGTTTCACAAAAATTATCTGACCAGCATGCCCCAATTCACAATACATGTTCAAATTCGGAATTTCCGAGTTTGACATCGAAAAGAATGAATTCGAGTTATGAGTCAGAGATATCAGAAAAATGATTAGTATAGTCCATCTACAATACAATAATCCCAGATAATCCGGAGAGCAATTGTCGTGACACTTCGATTTATTTGTTTTCACATAAAGGCTGTGACGGAATGCAAAAGTTGAAAATAATAAGTAACATGCAATAAGCTTAGAGAGACACGGAGACAATTCCAACCTAATCCACAGTTGCTTATGCATCGCGTTTAGTGGGTCGCATAGTAAAATAAAAAATTCTTACCGATTCCATCCTTTTTTTCATGAGAGCCAGTCTGAAATTTATACTTTTCCTGGTATAAATATCAAAATCACTAAATGAATAATAAAATTATTGATCTCAAATTCATGGCAATTTCTTACTATGTAATTGAATACAACAAAAACAGAATATTAAATTCAATTAGAGAAAAGCACATTAAATACGCTGATCAAGTTATCCTATTCTACAAAGAAGAATTCACGTAGAATTAATAGAAAGGTGATTCTTCAACTGTCATATCAAATATGAGATGGAGCTGAACGATACTTGATAGAAATCCATAATTCAAATACCAGTTTATTGTGAAATTTCCACTAGACAAGTCATCAAACCGCAACACGTGTTTCGCTATACAATAGCTTCCCCAACACGTTTTGCAAACTGTCCAGTGAAAATCTCTCAATAAAGTATCATATCGAAGCTCAGTTCAGCAAGACATCATTTCATAGGCAGTTTTTTTTACCTGATCCCGTTATTTACCTGATTCTATTTTGGAAAAGTAGAATAAATCTCTTTTCAGATCCAGAATATCAGTGGTTGTTTTTGGAATATTCACCAAAAACTAGAATGGTATAAAATATATAAAATGATATTAAAAATATACAGGAACTCTCGAACCCATTTGCAATGCAACGAACCTTCAGTTCTACTCGTCGATTTCACTAGCCACTACAATGATATATTCAGCTGTCTATTACAAAACAGGTCCGTGTTCAAAAACTGAAGCTGATAATGAAATCTAATGAACAAAACGTCGCATTGCAAATTGATCTGTATCAGATTATATATAACAAATATGAAACAGTATTAAAAGTTTCTCTGCTTTTTTTATATCATCCGAAATGAAGGCGGTAGAGCCAAAAAACGAAATTCGACAATTCCAGTTTGGCGAATATTTCAAAAACAACCACTGATATTCTCGATCTGAAAAGATATTATTTTAGTTCTCCAAAATAGAAAACTTGTCCAATTTAACCAACCTTGTAGGTCTTATTACCGTTTCTGAGATAGCAATAGTGGAATCACCTAATTAAATGGCTTGCATATGTATCATAAGAATATGATTTTTCAATGTAATATAACAAAGAAGTCTATTACTTCGCTCTGAATATCTTCTCCACATATAATTAATCAATTCATAACGTTGAAGACATACTAATATTCTTCAAAAGATATTGGAAATGACATTTTGTTGACATGAAAAATTAATGAAATATCACAGATATCTGCAGCCTGCCTCAGGAGAATAAGTATCCTGTCTACGTCTATATGACAATTTGACAATGTGATATCGCTGAGATATCGATGGCAAAGTTTTGTTATAACTAGGTTATACAAAATGTTGGTTGAAAATACAATACACATTCATGTTCTTCGAAATTTCATTCATAAATTACAATGTGATCATTGAAAACAATGACAATCATCAAGTTACAATTGAGGATCAAAATCAAAATACGGGAAATAATCAAATTGTCAGTTCTGCCGTTGTAAAGCATCAGTGTAGTATAAAACATGATCAAACATTGACATGTGTCACTGTCAAGAAGCCAATTTCCGGTATGACAGACATTCAAAAACTGGACAAAAAACTGACAAGTCATTGTATTTTTAGAACAGATGTGTTCGTTTGCTTTTGCATCTATTTAATGCGAAATCGTTTAGTGAGTAAGCTTATTCATACGTTGAAAGGACATTAACAATTTCTCGTGTCTTCATTGTTCTATATAGAGGTAGAAAGGCTCAAAAAATGGTAGCTAAAAATTATTAAAGGAAAATTATCAACTATAGGGAAATTATAAATATTTTGGACCACTAAAATATATCAAGTCCTTTTTTTGTTATTCAAAACTGATTTCAATTTTGATTCGGTAACTAAATGATCAGGTTTCATTTGAAATATACCACACATATTCTGAAAAAACCCAACCTTGACTTTACGCATTATAAAAGGACAATTGTATTTCAACTTAAGAGCATTGTTCCTAATAAACTATATATAGACTGTTAAAATGTAATGATAAATTCATACGTGAAAATCAGAAACTAAATTCAAATCCAGGATTCTGATCTCACTCGATTGATAGGTGTAATGGATCAAGTTCTATTTCATCAAGATCTTGTGCTCTACACATGACAAGGCAAGTACCCGATAATGTATATATTACAATATTTGATGGAACGAGGAAACAGCAACAACTCTCTATTATTGGAGTACATAAAAATGTAGAGTTGTTAGATATCATTCCGTGTTAGCAATCACACGTTAAAAGGTAAGACCTCGTTAGTCCTTAGCTCGCACAAGTTTCTTAACTTCTGAGAGTTGTCGTTCGTATGGGGGCGGCAGCTGATTAACAGAAAAACAGATTTTAAACAGATTTTTAAACAGATATACCCGATGATCCACGGCATCTTTCTCCAAAAGGACATATTTCATCATTAACACTTCTGAAATCATAAAACGACAACAAAAATCATTTGACGCTTCGGTGGGACTTCATTGATTCATCATCTGAAGATCTTGATCTGCGAATGTCATATCTCTCATAAAACAAAATATAGGGTGTCTCCAGAAGCTCCAATAAATTCAATACTATAATTCTTCAATACTTCGATACGACTATCATCAAACTTAAACCACTCCGTTTTACCTTTGACCAAGGTGTAATAATGATCAGAACCACAGTGAACAATGACTGCATGAATATTATAATAATGACTTTTGAGTCATGTTTGAAGTAATTATAATATGAAAAGTAATTATAATATGAAAAGTAATTATAATAAAAAACATTCGCAATAACCGAACTTACGTAAAATTCAGTGCATATTATCTGTCAAGTGGTGCTCATCCGTGTCAATATTTACTGGCAACACCGCAAATTTTCAACCATGCGCAAATTTATATGCGCAAAATTGTGCGCAATCGATATTAGAAACTCTATCCGTCATCTGTTGTGTTGGTGTGTCTATATTTTTTTGAGAAATTTGAAAATAATTTTCATTTAAGCAAAAACTCCTAATTGAATACAAGATAATTTTGTGCCAACGTGTCATTAAGTTCAAAAGGTAAGGTTGTCATCTACTTTATTATAGTATTTAATTTATAACAGGTTCCTTTTTTCTTGGCGTCATGCTCATCTTCCATTTTTATTCATATTCTTAGTGAACCGGTAAAACCTAATATTGGGTTGAGTGAATTTATGTTATGAAAATTAGTGGATAAACAAGTAATTTCCAAATGTGAAAATAATCATGTGATTAACTTGAATCTGATGGACGAAAATTTTGCAATGCGAGAATGGCCGAGGTATGGCATAACATCACGTAGGCAATGTCCAATGCAACAAATTGAATTATTTTCGGTAATAATGAGTAAATAAATGCAAGTAGGACTTGAGCGTAAATTTCCTAATTATTACATGTTAAAATAAGGTTGCTTCCTTGTTTTTATTTCTCTACTTTTTGAAAAATGTCATGGTGAAAACTTGATAAGATAACCGACAAAGTGCTTGCTTATAAGTTTGATTTTCATGTATCAGTGCTATTTCAAAGTTTTTGAACGGTGTTCATGAATAAAGGAACATTTTTGTTTTGATGTATTTTTAACTCTTACAAACAAGGATATCACAGTGGGTTCTGGCCGACTTGTTTGTTGGCAATGTTGCTTTAATCTTGCGAAAGAAGGTCACTTGAAATATGTCCATTGCCTCAAAACAATAAACCTTCCTCAAAAATACTTAAACTTTACTGGGAAAGATTGAAAATAAAGTCTGTTGATTGTTGACGCGTCGTTTTTATTCAATATGGCCGTTGACCAATTGACTCTCGAGATTTGACAATAAAAGGGTTGTGAGTGGTTGTGACATCGATCGAATTTCAGGTTAATGCCCTGTGGACTTTTGGCGCCTTTCAAAAATTCCATTGACTTCATTCAGTAAATTTCAGTTTGATTCATCTTAATCCAGACAAATGAAAGAATGCATTTGTTTACATTTTTGGAAGTAGGGCAAGGAAAAGTGACGTGCATGCACTTCAGATTCCCAATGTAGGTAATTTTCTATGTTCTTCTGGAACGTTTTGACACCAGGGTTATAAATCTTCTAAGGAAATGGCTGCAGTTAAAAACTGAAAGTACTTGATGTGTTTATTTCTCTCCTTGAATGGAAGTTTGAAGAAAACGAAAGGGATTGTCAAATACAGATTTTTTCCTGGAGGCATTTGGTGCAAGGTTATTTACTGTACTGTCCTAGAAAAACAAAGATTCTCTGAACTTTCAGAATCTGTCGTGGAAAGAATGTGGCCTCATGTATATCTGACTGCCAACTAAAACTGTCAAATCGGTTAACCTTTTAGCTTTTGTTATTATTTATGGTGAAATTAAATATATTTGGGTCACTTGTTGCCATGTTACAGGTTTCTGTCTACCTCGTTAAAGTATTCATGTCTATTTCCTACTTTCACTTACTGTACTTCAACTTTACATGATGAGAAGGTTATCCAGTATATAAGTCTATACCCTCTGGATATTTATAGAGGAACATATTGAGCCAATACAAATGATGATGTGGTACCACCCTTGATATAAAATTTTAAAGACAATACAAAGAGACAGGAGTTCAATAATAGTTATGTTCGCAGCTCTGGCCATCAATTTTGATATTAGAACTGTTAATGCTTTGTGCACAAAAAGTGCAAAGGCAATATATTTTTTCTAAGCTCACCTAATTTGGATGTAACAATTCAAAAATTCAAAAAACTGAACCAAAGAAACATACCAAAAGCGAGAAAGTACCATTCCCAAGAGAACTTCATAAAGAATTAGAAAATCTCAAACAACTCAACTGGCTACGGAAACATTCAAATGACCAAACTATTCACAATCATTATAAAATAACTAAGAAGCAAATTGATTATTATAAATCACTCTGTCATTAGTGAAGTGTTCCCAAATAAATTGAAAATATCAAAAGAAGTTCCGATCTTCAAGACTGGCCATGCCCAGTGCGAGCAAAACTACTGAATAATATGTCTGTTGAGCTGTTTTTCCAAAATTATGGAAATGGCAGTCTATAATCAAATAATATCATATCTAACTAAACATAATTTATTACCCCCACGACAATTCGGATTCCGACCTGGCTATTCTATCGAAACAGCCTCAACAGATCTTGTGCAATATATATCTGATAACATCAACGAGAATAAGCTTGTGGTTGGACTATTCTTTGATCTGTCTCGTGCATTTGACACAATCAACCCTAGGTATCTACAAATAAAACGGGAAGCTCTAAGCATCCGAGGTCCAATTCAAAAAGGGATCGAGTCATATATGTCCGGTAGATCTCTTAAGGTGCAGGTTGAGAAGCAGTCCTACGAAAATTTTGATATAAAGATTGGCACTCCCCAAGGTGGGGTTCTTGGGCCACTGCTATTTCTGCTGTATGTCAACGACGTTCCTAACCACATTAGTCAAGGACGTACTTTTGTATACACAGACGTCACAACAATCATTATAGCTGAAACTATTAATCAGGTACAGGCTAAAATTAATAAAAGAATTTGCATACTGGTGTGAAGTAAGTCACCTTATCAATAATGCAAAGCAAATGGTCTCCATTGAATTCACTAGTATCTCAAAGCGCAGTAATAAATTATCAATAAATGTTGGTAATACGGAAGTTTACAACTCAGAATCAACGAGATTACTAGGCCTCGAACTAGACCATAAACTTTTTTTCAAAAGACAAGTTGATGCTCTGTGTAAAAAACTTAACAAGCTGTAATTTATTACTCTGAAATCGAACTTTCATAGGCACCACCTAGTAAAACTGTATTATTATTTAATATACAGTATCATTAGTAGTAACATCATTTTGTGGGGAAAGAGCTACAGACATGCATAATTTTCATATCCAAAAAAAAATTCATAAGGTCAATATATGAATTGGACTATAGAGAAACATGCAGAAACACGTTCATTGAAAACAATATTGTAATACTAACATCTATCTATTTCTACAAATTATTAATATATACCCATCAGAATGCTAAAAATATGAACAGAAACAGTGACTACCATAAATATGATACCAGACAGAAGAATGCATTTGCAAAGAAAGCAATATAAAAGAGCCCTCTGTATGCTGGAGCACATTTGTTCAATCTTTTGCCTGAAGTCTTGAAACTCATTAGCAATAAGAAACATTTCAAACTATCTTTGAGAAAGTTTCTAATCCGCTATGCCTTTTATTCATTAAACGAGTATAAACAACTTAGCATACAAAGTTTTCATCTTTGAATTGATATGAGTCTTGGCAAAATGACAAATAATTATCACCCCACAAGAATTGAGGAATGTTTTTCAGAATATGGTGTGTGACTTCTCATTCCCATAATCTCTCTCAATTGAAACAACATTTCAGATCGAGACCTTAGAAATAAACTTAGTTTGATCTACTCACAACTATAGACTTCATATCGAAGGGATCATAACATGTTACATCATAAACTTAGACTCTTAGCAGTTGGTGAGTTCTTGCTTAGAAGTTGAGAATGATGTCAATGTGGATGTACCCCAAAGATGATATGTTTTTTTCAGTAGCTTCAATTAATGAATAATGTATAATATGAATATATGATAAGTCTGATAACTGTTATGTATGTGTATGTATAATGCCTTTTATAACCTTTGATTGATGAATAAATTCTATTTTTCTATTATTATGAATTAGTCATTATTTTATTTTCGATTACCTGCAGTTAGGTTGTGTGATAAAATCACCTTGTAATAAACTTTCTTTTAGTGTTCATATAAAAGTATAATATGGGATCAATCTCTGCAACCGTGAAAAAGTATCACTTGTCGACAAAAATCGGGGCCAACACTTTGAATAGAACACACCAATTTTAACAATACATTAATTATCGTTAAAATTGAAAGGTGTATCTTTTTAGGCGATTTGTTTTTGGGAAAGAAAGGTTTTGGTTTTGTACTTCTCCATAGTCATACAAAAAAAGGGAGAAAGCTATCAATTTCAAAAAATTAACTCTGTACAAAGATGTGTAGATCATGCAAAGAAGTAATTTTCAGACAAAAACTGGAAGAAAAAGCTCTTTGAAAGTTAAAAATACCTTCACTGTGCTTTTTTATTTTGCATCTGGTTCCCATTCTTATAATGCCTCTTTGAGGTACTAACTTTGCTAAACATGTCACTATATAATCGTTTCGTTGAAGGTTAGAATTGAAACTTATTGCAAAGGTTGAATCCCTCCAAAAGACTTCTCCCATGAAAATTCTCATGATTCTGATTTAGATACATTAAACATCCCTGCCTTCTCTAAAATCGATATTGTTACTGCTTCAAAAAATTTAAAAAATAAACTCGCTTCAGGCGTTGACAATGTTCCTAGTCTTGTGATAAAGGACTGTATCGATGTTCTTTCTATACCTCTAATAGGCATATTCAACTTAATTTTAACAACTTGTTTCTTCCCTGAGCAGTGGAAAACGGCTCGAATTTGTCCGATATTAAAAAAAGGTGACTCTAGCGATATCATTTAACTACTGGGCAATTTCAATTTCATGTAACTTTTGTAAACTCTTCGGGATATGTGTGCAAAATGTTATGTACTCCCATATTCAGAAAGTCATTTCCCCTACTCACCATGGTTTCGTACAACAAATATCATGTAAGACGTAAGACAAATCTTACATGTTTAAATCAATGTCTCTGTATGTACCTGGACAAGAGAAAACAAGTCGATGTTGAATTGGGACTCCCTAACAACTGTTTACTCTAATTGAATCATATCTAGTTAACAGAAAACAATTCGTCGAATATGAATCTTTCAAATCGGCTCAGTACGTAGTTACGTTTGGGGTACCACAAGGTTCTAATCTTGGACCTCTTTTATTTTTTATTTTTATTAATGATTTGGCAACCTCTTTGAATATTCCTAGCCTACTATTTGCAGACGACCTAAAACTATATTATAAAATCGACGACATTACTGACTACCAACGTGTACAATATGAATTAGATGTAATCAAACTTTGGTGTAACGATAATCGTCTACAACTGAACGTATCCAAATGTAAAATAATATCTTTCACAACAAAAAATTGAACTTCAGTGTATAATTATTCAATCAAGAATTTCACAATCAACCACGTACACGAGATAAAAGATCTTAGTGTAACATATGACAGTAAATTAACATTTACCACACATATAAGGAATATGACTGCTGATACAAATAGGATGCTTGGATTGATTTACAGAAATGGCAAAATCTTCAAAAGTATTGCCGCCTTAAAATGGCTTTATTTTGCGCTGACCAACTCAGTGCTTATCTGTGTTCTGTAATTATTTATAGGAGATACGACTGGTTCGTGATTCATGTAGTAGAGAGTTTGTACTGGATGACAAATCAAAATATGCAACTGAGGTTTTGGCTGTAATTCCTTATAGATCATTATATGAAAGACAGTCATTTGAAGATGTGAATATGTGTAAATTATTCACAAGTATGTTAGCTGATAAGATATTACTAATGTGTAATCTGTGTATATATTAATGTTTTGAACTTTTCGCAGTTGTTTGTTTACAGATTTGCAAGGAAGAAAAGATGATATTAACTCATTTGTTATTCTACTGCACCCAGATGTTGATTAAGCTTTGTTACATCTTTTCTATACTTTTTATATCGTATAGGGTCTTATATTAGTATCCTCCTATCTTTAAATTTAAATGAAACACAGTATGTTTGAGATATCATCGCTTTTTTTTAATTCGAAAGACCTATTGATGCCATTATTGTGGCGTGGAAAGGATTTGGTTTCCCTGAAGAGTACCATTAAAGCTGATTTAGAAAAAATTAAGTATTGGTGTGACTCAAACTCACTATGTTTTAACTTCAGCAAAACTAACATTCTATCATTTAAATTTGTGCACGGAAATTTCTGCCTTCAAACTCATATGATAGAAAATAAACAATCTGCTAAATTCTTGGGAATTTGGATTGATAACCTTCTGAAATTTGAAGATCATATAAAATATCTGAACAAAAAACTTTCATCTAGCTGTTATGCCATTAGAGTTATCACTAAAGAACTGGGAGCAACTGCTGGTATAACTGTGTACTACGCTTTAATCGAATCTCACTTGAGATATGGTGTCGCCTTCTGGGGGTTTTGTAGCAAACAGTTACTACAATCTGTTTTCGTTTTGCAAAAAAGAGCAGTGAAATTCATCTACAAAGCCAATATTAGGGACCATTGCAAACCCCTATTTATCAATAATAAATTACTGACTGTACACTGCATTTTTAACTTGGAAACAGTAAGTCTCATATTTAAAAGAAGAGAATGCTATAGATCAGAAAATACCTACTTTACCCGTCAAATTCACGACATACCTCTGCCTATTCCAATAACAACGTTAACAAAACATTCTGTTTTGTTTGAGAGTCGGAAGATTTTCAACCATTTACCTACCGAAATGAAAAGTATAGTGAACTACAAGGTATTCCTTAACCGTGTAAAAGAACTTTTGCTCTTAAAAGCGTATTACAGCTTGGTCGAATATTTTGAAGACAGGCTTTGAGACCAGCTTCTGATTTAGGTTTTATTTTTTGAACTTTTTACAGTTCTGGAAATTTTACATAACTTCGACTATTATATTTTATTATATTTTTATTTTGTCTGCACCTGTTTTTATTTTTCTTTATAATTACTTGATAACTTGTATTTCATATATATATGTGTATGTATATATATGTGTATGTATATATATGTGTATGTTATTTTGTGTAATAGTATTGTTTTCATTTTTTTCTTAGACAATAAAGTACAGTGATTGATTGATTGATTGAATATAACATCGTTCAAATGTCTGCCACGGCTTCTTTTGCTGAATTTAACCGATGGCATGGGTTATGATGGGTTTGACGACCGCTGTGGTTTATGGCTTATTCCCCAAAAAATGTTTAACGGGGTCAAATTGCACGATCTTGGTGGCAAGTTCACGTCACCCCCACGTGAAATAACCATACCCTCAAACTGCTCGTGCAGAATATCCAATGTGGCATGAGCTGTGTGGTACATAGCGCTGTCCTGCTGAAACCACATATCGTTGGTGTCCAAATCATCCAACTCGGGCCAAAAGAAGTTTGTAATCATTGACCTATGGTGGCCAATTCCTCGTCTTGAATTTTCTTCTCATAAATCTTTTAGGTTCAAATAGATTTACTGAAAAAAAAAATTGGATGGTGTGAGCACACAAACTGTACTTCAATGGTGTTCATTGGTGCGTTAACTATGTAAGGGATATGCAAACTGATACATCACGTCCGGACATATTGAAGTAATGCAAGGAACATTTTAAACAAAAAACTCGAAAGAGGTGCATTGAAAAAAAAGAGGGGCAGCAACATTTACTAATGACCCTTGGATGAACGCATGTTGTCCATGCATGTCTCAAAAAACACCAGTCGCTTACAGATTCAGATGAAGTGATACACACTCTGAAAGTTAAAAACCAAAAATTAAAAAAAAAATCAGCAAGAGGTAAACCATTAGTTTATAGCTGTTGAATAATTTGTGTGTGTCTGAAGTTTGAAATTATTATAACATATTCCTGTTGAAATGCTTGGGTATTGGTATCAAACATAAGACCCAATTTCACTGTTGTCGGTTACTCAGAGATATCGTTTTGAAAGGGAAATAACATTTTGCCGTGGTTTTCTTTTTGATTACAATCTCTAAACGTTTCAACTGCAACTGCGGCAGTCATCTTCAGTGGCCTGGTCGAAGTACTCTTCTTGACGTGTCAATTAAAAATATATTTTTAACTTTTTAGTTCGATGTTCTTTAAAAGCGTGTTTTTTAGTTTTTTATACTATTTTTTTTTTAAACATATTTCGTATGTCCAATACTATCAATTTTAATCTTCAAATAGGCAAGTAGCTAACTAGGAAACCCTGAACAAAACTGTTACCTAAAAGTTTAGACTCATTTCACCATGTCGTTAACAACAAAAGGTAAATGGTTATTGTTACCAGAAAAGGTCAATTTCGTTTTTCAAAATGTAGGTAACCGAAGTGAAAGATAAGAAGGTTGATGATTCATCACATTACATGTTATATAAAAACTTTGAGTAAAATACACCTTTTCGAATACAAATTTGTTTACCAATGGTTACTTATTATCACATTAAGATGAATTGCTTGATACCATGGCTTCTTATCTATGAATACCAAATTTGTTATTTCCGACTCGCGGGTATTTACTGTTGACTATAATTTTATGGGTTATGGTATGGTTCAAAATATTATTTGTTGATTAGGGTTTGTGTTGTGGGGTAGTTACAGATGTTTTAATATTCAGAATCAAAGAAAAACTGTTGATGAATTTATCAATCGTCAGAATATATTGAAAATCATTACAAATGTAAAAATATTTTTCTTTTTCAAACGCTGGAAACATTGTTTATACTCGTACATTTTTGGAATTATATGAATAGACTGACATGTTATGTTCGGAGAATCTCGTTTTGAAATTTCTTGAAGTCCTGCCTATATAAACTTTTTGACATGATCCGCATCTAGTTTGTAGAGACCTGATCTGTTATCCTTGTCTATGTGTGACTTTTTGTTCTTTATATGTCTACCGAAGGAGTTTCCAGTTTTATATGCCATGCTGATATGTTGTATGTTTAGTAGTATTTTTATGTTATCTGTGTTTTCAGTATATGTGAGTATAGTTGCCAGTATAATATTTAATGTGTGGGTATACTTGGTTAATAGCTTGTTTGAAAAGTTTTTTTTTATCAAGGATGTGATGAATTGCAATCGGGTTGAAGTTGTTATTCACTGCAATTTGTTTTATCAGATTTGATTCCTTATTAAAATTTTCTGAGGACATTGGTATACTAATGAGTGTGGATCATACTGTGGCAAGCTGCTAATTTATGTTGCTGTGGGCGATTAGAATGCTTGTTTATAGTCGTGTCTGTATGGGTTGATTTGTGGTCAATTGTGAAATCGTGTTTGTTGTTAATTTGTAAATTTTTATAGTTTTAATGTTTAAAAAAGTCAACAAATTATTAATTTCTAGTTACATTGTGAATTCAGTAAAGTCTAGTCTCTCATTCACTAATATGAATAAAAATATGAGCGATGCACGCTTTCTGAGATATTCTGAACTGAAAAGTAGGTAGATATATCAAATTCATTTTAGATTTACTTATATAAGGCTGCCTAGTAATTTTCAAATCGTACATTCGATCCATGTTTCATCCTATCCATTTTTCAGTAAGATTAGATCATATAATACTTGTATGATTTTCCATGTTGTCACTTTCTCCTTATTATAAGTATTTACAGTATTTTTTTTGTTATAGACTCAAGCAATACCTCGCGATGTCTACATTCCATAGACCAAAAGTTTATAGATCCACTAGAGGATGTTGCATTTGCAAAGCCAAGTCGAGCAGGTAAGTTTTTCATATCAAGTATATATATTATTGATAACTGTTGAATATATTACCCTCATTAAATTTTGTAAACCATGCGGCAACGAATACGAAACAGGTCGAATATCTTCAAGACAAGTTTGTTGAGAAAAAATGCGGACTGATCGATTTTTAATTTGAGGGNGTCAGTGATTTTGTAGATACAGACTATTGGAAGAAGTAAGTACTTTTCAAAATGAATGCTTCAAATGATCTAGAATCTTTTGGTTCGGGTGACTTAAAAGGCTAAGGTAGTTTAATATTCCTCTTGAAGATGATGACTTGGTGATAGAAACACGTGTCGAGGTGTTAAAATTTGGTGTTGGGAAAAAACTTCAGTAATATTCAAGTGAAGAGATGTTGTGAAAAGACACAAAAACATAAAAAGATAATAATAACATTTATTTGGTAAATAGGATACATTCCTAAAATACAATAACAACATTATAAGTAAGAATGATGATAATAATTGTAATTTATTGAACAAAATTACAATTTTGCTCAACTGGCTATCGACTGAAGTTCTTCCGCCTGTGTAACAAAATTTCTTTGAAATAACATAGCTTATTTTACAATATAAAAAAAATTATATGGATTTAATAATGAACAAACTAAACAGTTTCATTGATAAAGTTGTGTTAATTTTTCTAACAGTGTTTCTGTTGGGTGTCGATGTCGTACTCTTGCATGGGGGTTTCTTGTCACAGCATACTTTCTAATAATTTCTACATTGTCGTCTTTTCTAGCAAACCTCTGAGTAAGTGACGTTAGTCTTTCCTCGATAGGGGTAATACCAATGAGTTGGTACAGCAGAGGGTTTGTAGGGTTGTGTTTGGGGTTATTGGGATGCCTTAATCTTGTTATTTTCCTTATAGCCGTTGTTTCAGAAACTTTAATTGTTTTCAAGGCCCTTTGTTTGATATTGAGAAACAGTGGGTGCAAGTATTCAATAAGTGGACGACAGATTCGTTTATATATTCGGCTTGCTGTTGATATGTTTGCACCTGCTCCCGGGTTTGTCAAACTTGTGAAATGGGCAGCTCTTGCAATCACTTCCTTTTTTTTTGTCATTGACGTGGCATGTAATATATGTTGGAAAACGTTGATTGTTGGAGAAGTTGCAGAATTTTGATGATCAAATATGATGAACTGAGACTCAGATGGGTTTGGCTGGAGCCTCTATTGAACCAGTTATTTGTTATTGTTGCAAGATGTTTCAAATTGTTAATAACTTTGTCTAGCGTTTGATCGTGCGCAATTAGGGTGGTTTCATCTGCATACTGAAGAATATATGCTTCGTGCCTGAAGTGTTGATATTCCCTTGTCGGTGATGATGAATATCAGAGCTGTATAAGTTATATAACAATGGTGAGAGCGTTGAACCCTGTGGAACTCCCTGCTCCGGGATAAATTAGTCTGAAAAACTACTCAGTATTTTAACTCTCAGTTTTCTGTCACTCAGCAGATTCTTAGTTGTATGTACTAGATAGTTAGGACAACCCAGTTGATAAAGTTTGAATAAAATACCCTTGTGCCAGACTCTATTGAATGCTTTGTTCATATCCAGAAAGATCGCTGCCATTTTGTTGTTGTTCAGCTTGGTTGTTTCAATATTGTTCGTGAGAATCGTGAGAGGATGTATAGTAGATCTTCCTTGTCTAAATCCAAACTGGTAGCTTGGTAGCAATTGGAGTAAGCGGTTTCATAAAAGTTTTTACCAATTACAGGCAGGAGAGTAATCGGACGATAACTGTCCGTAAGGGAGTGATCCTTGGTTGGTTTGGGAATTGTAATTATTGTGCCCATTTTCCAATTGTCAGGTATATAATGCGTTTTAAAGCAAAATTCATAGCTTTTCATGATGAACTTGTGAATCTCATAATTCAGCTTTCTCAACATGTTTCTTGTGATGTAGTCATGCCCTGGAACTGAGTTTTTTCCCGGATATAAGATTTCAAAATATTCACAAGATATCACAAGTCAAAATAATCAATTAATATTCTAAAATCATGTCTTTTCATCTTATTTGTAATAAATTCAGTTACATTTGTTAAAAATATGTTGCAGTAGTTCAGTTTCAAACCTTCTGAGGGTTGCGAGACTAACCTTTGTGAGGTATCTTGCATAAATGTTTGTCGGATATAATTCAATATCCAGCATAGTGTTAGCCGAGAAAGTAGTTGTTTTACTGCAGAACCTACTGTGTAGGTAGTTGGGAGAGATTCTTATAGCATATTTTGTTGAAAAAGCTTTGGTCACTCAATTTGATGTTGATAAAGATTTCTGACGTCTTCTTTTACTTCAAAGGATTGTGCTAAAAAACTTAAATTATCGGCCAATCGTAAATACGATGAAAGCTACTTATAGTACGGTTTTATAGTGAAGCCAGGGGCTGAAACCAGTGACATTCCTATTCCTCAATGTGTCGTATGTCTTGAAACACTTTCGAACCGATCCATGAAGCCTTCTTTAATGATGCGACACCAAAATACTAAGCACTCTGATTTGATTTGTAAGCCCAATGGGATTTTCAAAAGAAAATCTAATTTTTTAAAGAAAGAAACTGAATGTTTGACGAAATTTGTCAATACTGATACTAACGTGATAAAGGCGTCATACCTTGCTAGTTTAAGAATTGCAAAAGATGGAAAGCCTCACACAATAGGTGAGACGATTTTACTGCCGGCCGCTGTGGATATGGTTCAAGCCGTTCTAAGAGAAAAGGCAGCCAAAGAAATTAAAAAAAATACCACTGTCAAATAACACAGTAAAAAGACAAATTGACGATATGTCTAATAATATTGAAGGACAACTGGCTTTACAACTCCAAGAATGCACTTATTTTGCACTTCAAGTTGACGAAAGCACTGATGTTACAAACATGGTGCAGCTACTTGTTTTCGTGCGATTTGATTATAATGAAGAGGTGATAGAAGAGATTTTTTTCTGCAAACCACTTGAGTCAAATACCACAGTGGAACTCATTTTTAAGGTATTCATTCCCTGGTCCAACTGTATGGTTTGTGTACAGATGGGGCAAAAGCTACGTTAGGAAAATTGACAGGGCTAGCAGCAAAAATGAAGGGAGTTGCTCTGGAATGCAAAATTATGCATTGTGTCATCCATCGAGAAGCATTAGCTGCCGAAGGTATGCCGGAAAATTTTAACTCCGTTCTATCAGATGCTGTGAAATTTATTAACTCCATAAAGGCTAGGGCTCTAAATACAAAATTATTCTCCTTGGTGTGTGAAGAAATGGGTGGCAAGTTCAAAACTTTACTCCTGCATACAGAAGTGATTTGGTTATCTCGCATGAAAATTTTGAACTGTCTCTTTGAACTGAGATCAGAAGTTTTCATGTTTTTAAGTGAAAAAAATCATGACATGAAAAAATTGTTTGCTGATGAAGAATGGTAGTCAAGATTGGCCTACCTAGCCGGCATTTTTGACAGCCTTCACAGCCAAAAAAGTCTTAGAAATGTCTGTATATAACCAATTAATTCAGTACTTTAATACCAATAAATTTTTTATAGGCAACCAATCAGGTTTTATAGCTAGACACTCATGTGAAACGTCTCTACAATTTTTAATAACTGAATGGAAAAATACAATTGATAGAAATCAGTACATTGTTGCGACATTTCTCGACCTTAAAAGGGCATTTGAAACAATTGACCGAAATATTCAACTTGAAAAATTAAAATATTATGGGATATCAGGGATTGTTTTAGAATTGAAATGTTTTTTTAATGAAAACATTGAATTTCAGTTCCAGATTTACCGACAGTAAGAAATATGAAGAGGAATTCCTGGAGTGTTTCAAGCTGTCAACTCCAAGACAAGGCGAAATATGTAATGCATGTGTATTATTGGTAAAACGATGGAAGAAACTACCGGCTGGGTCAGATAGGCATTGGCAACATGTAAGTATGAAGATTTTCTTTGCATTTTTATAATGAATATTTTGAAAGACTACATGTAACAATATTTCCTTTTCTCAGGTTGTAGATGCTAGGGCCGGGCCTGGCATGAAATCGATGAGCAAATTCAAACTCAAGAAACGGGCTATGAAGGAACTGAAAAATAGTAAGGCTCAGAAAAAGTTTGAGAAAGAGAGCAGTCCGCAACTGTCCGAAAAGAGCGAAGGAAACGAAGAGATGGAACTGGGCGAGGTGGATTTCCTGTCTGAGGACCTACGGAGCAGGGAATCTAGTCGGACCGCCAGTCCTGGTGCAAGCGATTTCGAAGAAGTTGTCGAAAGGAGTAGAAGGTTCAAGAGTCAAGCCAGGCATAGGGATGAAATTTCTAGAGTCAGTGATTTTGTAGATACAGACTATTGGAAGAAGTAAGTACTTTTCAAAATGAATGCTTCAAATGATCTAGAATCTTTTGGTTCGGGTGACTTCAAAGGCTAAGGTAGTTCAATATTCTTCTTGAAGATGATCACTTGGTGATCAAAGCACGTGTCGAGGTGTTAAAAATGATAATTTGGTGTTGGGAAAAAAATTCAGTAATATTCAAGTGAAGAGATGTTGTGAAAAGACACAAAAACATGAAAAGATAATAATAATAACATTTATTTGGTAAATACGATACATTCCTAAAATAAAAAATAAATATAGAAGCAGAATAAGTGTTGAAAAGAAGAGTGAAGATAAGTTCCATTACTCCTAATGTTGATATTTTAATCACAGGCAAACAAGTTTCGCACTAAATACTATAAAAGTATATTTTATATGATTGAATTTTTTGCTGACTTTTCAATAATTTTTTATTTGTATGTTTTGAGACCTACGGGTAATAAATAAAACTGTAAATTAATACCATTTTATTTATGTCTGGTGGTACGCCAATATTTCTCAAAAAGTCAAGTGGTACGTAGGTGCAAAAAGGTTGGGAACCTCTGATCTACTGCAGTAATCTTCCTACTTTAATATAAATTCCCACCTTAAAAAAACTATCTCTTTTGTTGTAGAGAGACTATTTGCTGTGGTGTCATCTTCAGAGGTTTGTATAACGAAGTCATGATCGATCCGAGCTATATCAAGCCTTGCAGTAGCCGACTCGCCAGTTGTAAGTTGCAATCCAACGGCAACAAGTCTCTCAAAGGAAGTGCCGATAATACAACTTCTAAAATGGACAGCGATAGTAGTTCGGATTCGGGTTACGACGAATCTTCCAATTCGGGAATGTCAGCGGACAATGCTTTTAAAAAGGACCATGTTGGTTTCGAAGAGATCAACAGCCGGATTCCAGCGGTTAATTAATGTTCGGTACTTTTTAGATTGTTTTTAATTTATTGCTGAATAGAATTTCATTGTTATATTTGTAACAAATGTATACTTTGATATGCAGATATATTTTATTAGATTTTAATTTGTAGCAAGCAGAGTTGCAGACTTTTTGAGGCGTGGAAATTATTGTTGAGGATATTCTTTGGGATGGAACGATTTGTGAACGAAGTTTTTGGAATTTTTTTTTGAAATTTATCAAATGAGAAGGTATAATCTCTTTAATCCATGCCAGGCTAACTTTGAAAAACTGGTTTCCAATAAGTAGTGAACATTTTTAATTAGGTAATAGCTATGAACAATATTTGAAAATCTCTTTGGGAGTCCATTGTATTCAGTTCTTCAAAGACGCCAGCGATTATAGGAAACTCCTTTGAAATCTTTCCATCCATCAGTTTTTTCAGATTCGAAATGTATCTATGTTTTTTTGGCTCTTAACATATTTATCCGTTCATATTTATTTATATAAACAGTACAAATGATAACACATGAAAAATGACCAATTAGGTGCAATGCAAAGGTACACCCGATCTCAAAACTAATCAGTTTGGCACTGAAATATTTGCAATATCGTATATATAAGAGTGATAAGAATAATCTGAAACAAAAAGCAATCGTAAATGATATTCAAGTGAGGCCGAATACTTTTTTAGGGATACAGTTGTTGAATGAGATTTCGGTGTTAGTTACTTGACTAATTAAGACTGAGGGAGATAAGTAGTTCTGTTTTGAAACGTTAATTTTCGTTTCTTAAGTGCCACATTTCATCTGAAACTTGACATCATACTTTCAAGCTTGTTGCGAGTGGTAGGAACTGTTACAGAAGTTACATTATCTAACTACTAAAAGAAACATTATTTAATGATAATAGTGTTTCATGTACTGTATTGTGTAGCAAACCTGTGAATGATATCTGATTTAATTCCAAAATGAACGTTTGGAGTACAAACTGAATAGGAAAAAGCGTTTTTTGAAAGTATTCTTCCTTTCATGTAATGGTAGTGGTTAAAGCAAAGGTTATTTCTCAGAAAAATGGCTTTAGCTATGCAAAAAAGGCAAACGTTCGATTGCCTCTAGAAATCAACACCACAGAAAAGGGTGGGGAATACGCCCGAAACTCTAGGAACAGCATTTGTGGTGTTTGAAGACATATGTCAGGATTCGATGTCTGCAATCGATATCTTGTTGATCTATACTACCAGGCCACTAAAGCTTTCAAGAAGAGTGACATAGATAAGACGCAAGAGTAAATTGACAAAATGAAATCTAAATATAGAATTGATACATGAATTTTTCAATTACTACAAACCATGTTTTTTGAAATCTTTATAAATATATTATCACTAGGCTTACTAATTCAATGTTTACATGAAAGTAGTTGTTTGGGAGGGCTTTTTCTTCCAGTTTGTGTCTGACAGTTACTTCTTTGTATGATCTACACATCCCTGTAAAGAGTTTATTTTGAAATTAATCGCTTCTTTCTTCTCTTTGGAAGATTCCCACATTTTTTTGCATATAGATGAATAAAAAGAAAGTCCAAAACATTTCAAGTTCAATCTGTCAATCATTTCTATTTTGTGTGAGGAAATCTTGGATAGTATGATGTCAAGTTCTTTGAGTTACCAAATGATTACTTGAGTTTTTGGAACAGAATTACCACAGTTTAGCGTGTACAAGTCATGTATTGGGTCAGTTCTTGGTAATGAGTTGTGAGAAATTATTCATCATTTTTTTTATTATTTTCATTAGATTCAACTGGTAGTATTTGTTACAAATGTAAGGTTCCGGACAGATTTATTACTTTGCTATATTCCTACTTCGACAAATGTTCATTCGTGTGATATTATTTAAGAAATAGGCAATATAGTTTTGAATCTTATCATATCATTAATCATGGTGTCTTGATCTAAACTGCCAAGAGATAAACTTATATGTGTTCCTCTATGAAAACACAAACTAGTTGACTAGAGTATGTTTAGTTTTTATTAAGTTGTTACAGCGGACGTGATGTAAAATTCTCATTTGTCACACAGGCGCAGTTTCTCTAAGAATTATTGGAATAGTGCAAGTTTTTAAATGAAGAGAAAAGATTGGAACTAACTTTGCCATCATTTGTATCTTCTTAAATATCTCTTTGGAAAATAGTTTGCCAATTATTTGTCATACATGGAGTTTAATATATCTATTAAGTTTGAGTATTGAATCTAGTCGCCTAACTTTCCTTTGGGAATATCAAACGAGGTTGGTAAATGAAATTCACAATAGTTATTAGAGAGGCTGCTTCAGGTTCTTGCAAATCTTTGTAAGTATTCTGAAATTTACAATTTATTCCTGCCTTTACATCACCACGCAGCAATAAGTACAACTATTAACTATTTGCTGCCATTTTTAGTTTTACCACCATTGATGTTTTTTTGACTTCTGAATTCTAAGAATTTTCGAAATTATTAAGCTAGATTGTACGGTATAGTTCGATTTGATAGAAGTGGAAAAGCTTTTTTTATTCATTCAAGTTTGTTTACTGAAGTGTTTCTTGAGTAAGAATAGGAAAACTTTATGCTGCTTTATATTTGATTGTATTTATTTCAGAATTGACGTTACTGAATGCTCCAAGACACGACGGAACTGGTGTAAATGTCAAAAATGTAAAAAAAAACCTATTTGTATTTGAGATGGAAACTGCATACCTGTTTCGAATTTTTTTATCCGCTTTATCATTTGTTGTGTACTCAAAAAAGTATTATTTCCTTTCCCTTCAGTATTATGTCATGTTTAATTTAAAACTTGACACAATATTTTGGAACCGATTGAGAGTTGGAAGTGGGGGATGTGTCCCAAAAGTCACATCATCTAACTACTGATAAAGAAAAATGTTTTTTCAAATCAAACCTATATCATATCTTCACTGTTTACGTAATTGCTAATGTGTACCTTTTCAGGCTGCCCCCCACCCCTACAACTTTTTTATCTCTCCCGGTATAATTGTGGTTATTTTGTGGCTGAAATGGTACCACAATTTGGGTTTTCAAATGGAACACCTATTATATTTATACTTTTAGTATTCAGCAGTTTATTATATACAAACATCCTATTTTGGTGAAAAAATAGTGCGAAATACTTTTTATTTCTGAAAAATATTTGATTTGCTACCATAAGCTTTGATTAACACAAATCAGTTCTTCTGGTTTCATTTGAACCACCAAAATTCCACATTTTCATACCAGGAGATACAAAAAACTTATGGAGCGAGCCTGAATCAGTTCACACACACTATAGGATTTGTAACGCATGTCTGTTGAAAATATTTTTTTTGGAGATTCGTTTCTGTGAAAAAAAACTTTGACTTCCAATTCCTCACATTTCTTCCTTATTTTGGAAGTTTCCCAAAATTTTTTGTATTTGGAGGAGCGAAATTCAAAAACTTTTTGTATTTTGTTGATAGAAATTTTTGTATTGACACCTCGTTGAAAAGTTCTGTCTTGGCATATTTGGTAATTTGATTTTTTTTTGTATATTTACTGAACATATTCAATTCTATATATAGTGATGGTTTGTTAGTTATGCTCATTGTGTGAATCGTTTTATGCTTGTGTAGGATGTAGTATTCTTAAGGAAAGTGTGTAGTTTTTTGTTTATCGAAGACTGCAAGCTTTCGATACGCACAAACTGTTGAATTGATTGTGGTTAGATTGGAAATGTATATCATGATTAATGTGATTTTGTAAACAGCCAATTTTCAGTGTAGTTCACTGGTACTTAGCCAATATTCTGAAATGACGTGCTCATCCTATTCGTATCTACATTTAAAAATGGCTCATCTCATTCATGATGCAAATCAACTTGACAATGTGCTCTTCCAAATCTTTTTTGGAGAATTTTTAAAGTTACTAAATTTTCTATCGGAGTTCTTGTAGCAAGGACGAATATTTTTGATAAAACAAAATAAAATCAAAAATGATAAAAAGGCAGCGCGGTACTTTCTTCTGAATGTATGTTTCCCTTACACCTGAAATTACTGCCATTACTCAATATCGTCGTCGCCAAAAATGAAATGTTTCCCGTTGAGGATCGTATTTGCCTGCCATTCGGGAACACACTGTATAGCTAACCAAATATTATTGTAATTGAACGAATTATTTCTTGAAAAGAAAATTGTTAGTAATCTACTCATCTATTGTTATTGATAATGCAATAATATTGACATCAATATTGTTATTGATAAAGACAAAAAAAGTGTCCGTCAGGGCTGAGGTACATTGTCATCAATAAACATTCAATGTATCGGATGATTTTTTTACTCTAACCCTGGAAATCAATTTATACATTGTAATTCATTATATTGAATTCAGGACAGTTTTCCTTTCTTTCACGAACAATTGTCAAAGATTTTAAATTATGCCTTAGTGTGACATTGGATTGGTTATTGTTATTTGAACTTTGCAAAGGTGTCTGAATTTTAAAGACGAGTTGAAAACATTTTAACATTGAAATTAGTGACTCAGTATTGGTATTATATATTTTTTGTGTAATTTTTTAGTTTTTTATTGATGAGTATTGAAAATTAAAAATTACGGTAAGGTTTTCATAGAATCATGTGAGCCTCTGGAAATCAAAGACACTTCAATGACACTTTGGATTTAACAAACATCTAACACAAGTACCGTTTCCTAACACCAGAACTGCAATACTCTTTTTCAACGCGCGTTTCACCAGCTAAGTTGGCGTTTTCAGGAGATGAAGTGTAGTCTATACAAAGTAAATCCGAACAGCTGAATAAAAGACTAATGTGCTAGATCTCATAAGTTTACTAGTTATTACGCTACAGCAGTGTTTCTCAAAGTGTGCGCCGCGGCGCCCTGGGGCGCCGTGGACCTTTACTGGGGTGCCGTGGGCCACGGGTGAGTCTCAAGGTAAAACGTTTTACAACAGATAACTGAGAGTAAAGGTAATACGTCGGTGCCTATTAATGAAAATCCTCTGATAATATCGGTAATTGCAAAATGCAATCCGTTCACACAGCCACCTACCTACTTTTATTAATTAAATATCTAGTGTAGCCTTTACGTTCGGGGCGCCGCGATAACCTTCAAAAAACATAAGGGAGCCGTGAATTCGAAAAGTTTGAGAAACACTGCCCTACAGTGTGTAATAGTCAAATGGAATAAATTCATTATTTCGGTTACTGTACATATTTAAAAAAATCCAGAAACACGTCAAATGTAAATTATAATCTGACATTCTTCAACGTAAAGTCGTCACCCCTACTTTCAACCCCCGTCGAATGACAGGTACAACCCCCAATTTTTCAAATGGGAAATATAGGCTTATGATATATCGTTTGAAAGGTCTCTTCATTCTCTATTAAAAAATGTTATCGCGTTCAAGTTTATTGCAACAATTAAGATAAAATAAGTTAAAATCATTTGTTTGCCGAAATTAGATAAAATACACTCAAAACTTATTTCATGTTGAGGTATTGGTAACAAGAAAGTAAGCAAAAACCATAGCAATGTTCTTTTTAGATGGCATCCTTTAAAAAAACTGTAAATAATTTTCGTGGCAACCTACTCAGGAGCTCTTGGAAGACGATTTTGATAGAAAAACTTATTTTTGTGAGCAAATGATGGACATGTTGGGTGACAGTATCATCCAATTAGAAGACGTTATGTTTTCTGATGAGTGTACTTTGTCTCTTAACGGTCATGCTAGTCGGCAAAATTGCCGCTACTGGTCAACGGAAAATCCTCACTAGATGAGAGAAGAATACACGCGCTAACCTCAAAAGGTTAATGTTTGGGCAGGGATTGTAGGAAACCATATTATTGTTCCTTTTTTCATTGAGGGCAACTTGAATGGCGATAATTATTTGGCGCTACTTCAAAATGATGTCATTCCAAGTTTAGCAAATTTATATCCTGATTCAAGAAACTCTCAAGTTCCAGTGAATACGATTTGGTTTCAGCAGGATGGAGCACCACTACATTACCAAGTTCAGACAAAACCTCGATACATTTTCCAATCGGTGGATAGGGAGGCGAGGATCTTTGAATGGCCAGCGCGATCACCTGATCTTTCATCCCTAGATTTCTTTTTATGAGGATATGTAAGTAAACCTTCGGATTTGAATGCGATTTGCGATTAGATCGGTCATGCCTGATATGTTTAATAATATTAGAAGACATTTTTTTGAGATTACGGTATTGCGAAGACTTTTTGGTTAAATAGATACATCAGTGTGCCACAGTAGTCAAAGTGTGGCCTTGTTATGTAGTTGTAACATGTTAGTCTAGCAAAGGTTGATAAAGATTTTGAAATTCTAGAGAAAAAATACATTTTCTTACATTTCATTCTAATGGTATATTCAGTATGCTTATTCAAATTTTATTCATGGTCTATAACAAATCCTAAGTGTACTTGATTTCATTTATAATTGTGAGTTGATTATTGAATATTCTGATATCAACATCGTTAGGATTAATCTTTCTTTGATTCGAATTTGATTTAACAATCATTGCCTTAGATTTATTGATATTCAATTTGAGTTTATTCACTTGTAGATATAATTCGATGCTCTTTAAAGATATATTGATATTTTGTACAGCGTTTTTTGTATATAGAAGGGTATCATCAGCAAATAAAATTAATATGGTGTGAACCAGGTACATAGTTGATTTCATTTATTTAAATAATGAACAGCAATGGCCTCAAAACACTACCTTGTGGTACGCCTATGTCATTTATAATTTGAACTGACATTATACATTTTAGTCCTTTGACTTCTTTGCTCAAGATAACTATCAAACCAGCTTAAAGCTTTTCCACTTACACCATAATACTCTAGTTTATTGATTAAAGTTTTCCTATTGATTGTTTCAACGTGCGGACGGGCGTTGTCGTGGAGCAGGATCGGGCTTCTTATGTTGAGCAGTGCCGGCTGCTGCTGACGCAGTTTTCGGTACATTTTGTCGATTTTATCATGATAGCATGACTCTGCTGCGATGGTTTGGCCGCTGACCACCATACAGTAACCATTGTTCTTTTTTTGGTGGGACTTCGCCTTTGGTAAGTGACTGGGTGGCTCATCGGTACCAACTACTGTTCTAAACGTCTCTTGTCATAAAGGATCCACTTTTCATCACACATGACGATCCGATAAAAAAAAGGATTTTGGTTGCGCAAAAGCAAAGAAGAACAGACCTCGAAACGTGACAATTTTTGACGATCGTTCAAATCGTGGGGCACCCACTTTTGCACCTTTTTGACCTTTTCAATACGTTTTAAACCAGCTGGAGCTGACACCCAGTTCTTCCGCCATCCCACGTGGTTTCCACCAGGGTCCTCAAATCCTCGTCTTAGATTACTGTAGGTCTACCACTTCGGGGCACATCTTCGAAGCTAAAATCTCTGGAACAATATTTCGCAAACCAATGTCTGACAGTGCGTTCATTAGCACTATTATTGCCAAGTCCATGGTTACTTTTGCTGTCTGTTTCAGCAGCTTTGGTTCAATTCGAATTCGTAGAGAAAAATTGGACGAAAATCGCTTAACGACATCATATGCTGAAAAGAAGCAAAAAAAAAATAAATTTTGGAAAAAATACCACGACATAGAATGAACATTCATTGAGATCTGGCGCTACAAAAACACTTGACATTGAAACGGACAATACCCATGCCAAATTTGCTATTTCCAGACTTCTGAAAGCATAAAAAAATATAGTGTCAAGCACTGATCTCCACAATTTTATTCTGCGCATTATGAACATTATTACGCATTTACCATTTTTACCCTATTTTTCAAAATGGGTTTTTACTTCTGAATAATATATTCTGTTGTGAACTGTCTATATCGATCAATTCAGGACAATGCAATTGAGTAATAAAATATAAATTATTTCAAAATAAAACAAACAAGTCTGATAATTCTATTTATCTAGTAATAACGCGATTATGGGAAATATCTATCTTAAAAATAAACAATATATTTGGAACGATGAAATGATCAATACAATTGAAAATAGTGGATAATAAATGATATAAACATTAGCCCTGATACGGAGTGATTTATTTATCGGCTATTATTGGGGTTGTAAATGACAAATTTTATGTTTATTGCATTCGCAAAAATCCAAAAAAAAAATGTGCAGAAAGGCACGTTTTGAAAAGAAGGAAACTGAGAAAATCGCACTGAAATACACCTCTTCTGAAAGTGATCTAACGGTGGGCTCAATACACTCGTAGTTTCATTCGGTAGGCAAGTCATGGTTATGAGCCCCACTACCTTGCATCTGGCCGCACCGAGCAGGTAGGTTGTGAGGGCCCCATCCTCGCATTCTAGATCTATCGAGTGGTTAACCCTGTAGACCCACTGCCGGCATCGAAGGGATATGATTGTTCTCCCTTCCGAGTGCTTTAGGGTTGCCGGTACTGTTTCTATTGCTCGGATAAGTGGTGGTGCAACTCATCAAAGGCCTCAGACGTTAGGTGACCATCGCTGCTTATTATTATTCATTATATTATTTCCCCCCCGAAAGTTGAGCTGGTCTGGCCCCGTCTTCAAAGCCCCAACACATTCGGGACAGCACACCAGCATCACCAACCAATGACCACTCCCCACTCCGTGGGGTAAGTTATCTTCTGTGTGTCTTCTGCATTTGTCCGGCTAAGATTTCTGCCTTAGTGCGGCAAGCCGGTATGATTTTAAGGGTCGGGAGTCCTGTGGGTTGGGCTACCTATCGGGCGCGTCCCCAGGTGGCGGATAGGGGAATGGCCAGNTAATTAAAGTAGTGTTAGGTATGGGAAGACTTAAATTTAGGATCTGGCGTGTGGTGTAATGAGAGACAATAGAGGGAAGTTCTGTTCTATGTTTATGCACTAAACAAACTGTTTCTAAAACGAATATCATACCGTGATAAAATTTTGTTTGCTACAAACAAAGGCCTACAAGAATCTCGCCGCCTGGCTCTACAGAGAAATCTTAATGATCTTTTCTGCAGGATAAAAATCGACTCGAGTCGAGTTTGATTATTTACCCCCCAGAAAGGTATTCTATATCTTAGATTATACTAATGGATAATAGACAGTTTTAGCTGCAGTTAGTCCTAGTTCATTAGAAGTTATTTTCACAGCATAACATCCAGATGAAAGTTTTTTGTTAGAAGATATTATGTGGTTCTCAAATTTCAATTTATTATCAATTAATAACCCAAGAAATTTGTTGCATGACGCGTTCTCAATCACATTCGAATTCGAAGCTAGAGGAATATTATCAAGAATGCAATTAAAGGATAAAACTTTAGTTTTTGAGACATTGAAAGCTAATAAATTTGCCTTACACCAATCTGAAAGTTTGGAAATATCAGAGCAAATGGCATTATATAGATCATTTGTGTTGGTATTGCGCCATAATATTGTAGTGTCGTCGGCGAATAAAGTAAATTTACCCCCAATATCAATGGTAGTCAAGTCATTGATATAGAGTAGAAATAGGGTAGGTCCCAGTACTGATCCTTGTGGTACTCCGTTAGATATGTTAGAAATATCAGATACTGTTGAATATTTAATCCTTTGACTTCTACCCGATAGATAAGAAGCGAACCATTTATGAGTAATACCTTCAATACCATAGAGATAAAGTTTCCTGAGCAGAATTTCGTGATTAACACAGTCAAATGCTATAGAGAAGTCGCAAAAGACTGCTGCTGCAATCTCCCGTCTATTGATGTTACACTTTATATAAAAATGAAAATATGGCATTATGAGTATTTTTGTTTGACTGGAATCCAAATTGTTTGGAGCTTATTATATTACCGAAGTTCAAATGTTCTGTTAAACGTATTTTTACCAGTTTTTCAATAATTTTTGCTAACGACGAAATAAGAGAAATTGGGCGATAGTTCGAAGGATTCTCTGGATCGTCACCTTTGTAAATAGGAATTACGATCGAAGTTTTCAAGAACGAGGGAAATGAACCTGTTAGAAATGAATGATTGATTGCCTTCGCCAAAGCATTTAGAGCAGTAGCAGGAAGATTAACAAAGATTTTCATGTATAATTCGTCGTTACCAAATGCCGATTTATTTTTAAATGAAGCGATTATTGCCTGTAATTGCCTAAGGTGTAAGGAATCGTGCCGACAGCTGAATGGCCACAGGGTGATATGCGATTACGAACGATCCCCTTGGGGAACTGGGCGAAACCACATTTTGATCAGCCTACCTCTGGAAATGGGGGGCTCTGCCAGAGGTGACCAACTCTTTCCTTGCTACTTGTGGTAACACACATGAATGAAACAAACACAAAAACAGAAACAACAAAAACCAATCCCGAGGCTGGACCAAACTACCGCTTGGAATGAGGCTGGAAATGGCAGATCACCTCATGATGTAATACAAAGGCCAAGGCATAAGCGCATTTGTGGCGCCGAGGCCAAAAGGAGAAAGAGCGAAGGAAACAGGAGTAGCAGTAACTATAAGTGCACCCTCCTCCTCCCCCACTCCACCTCCAGCAGCAAGGGCACTTCCTGTGGCGGGCGCCGAAAGCTCCGCCTTAAATAAAGGCAAGGAACCGGCTGCCCCTGCAAGAAAGCTCCCTCACTTGTGCACCTCCACGGAGGTAACCGCAAGAAGGTTGAAGAAGCCGCGCAACGACAGTAGTGTCGCTGCACCTTGTAAAACCTTCGCGGAGGCCACCGTGAGACACCTCAAAGTTGCCAAAGAGAGTGTGGCGAGTCCTCGCCTACACCTACCAATATAAAGGAGATGTCTTCTAGTGACCTGTTCGCCTTCCTGGAAAGGACAGGACGGACGATGACCTAGGAGGACCACTCCTCGGGAGGGTGTACAATGGGTCACAAGTGGCCTGAGTGCTGTGGGTCTACACTCATCCTCCCTACTCTACAGATACAGGGAGTAGATAAGGAATCATTCCACCAAGGACTCCAGTAATCAGAATAACCATATTGACAGAGTGGTCCAGATAGAGTCTGCGGAGTTTGGACGATATTCGTCTCACCTGGAGCTGAAAACGCCACCATGAATATCGTCTTGCTATGATGGTCGAGGAGAATTACAGCAAGCTCATCAGCTTACTTGAGCCTGAGGATTCAATATATAGGGAACTTTGGCGTAGGTACCGTCTTTAACTTTGAAACTAGTGAGTTCGACAAACTCCTGAATTATTTAGGAAGAAGAAAATATTTTATGTAGCGGATGAAATCTTGCAAGTAAAAATTTCTTCATATTTTAGTTTGTAGAATGTTCGAAACTGATGATTGGTAAGTATTCAGTAGTCCATACTGTTTCAAATCTGTAATTACTTTCATGCTGAAGAAGTCCTAACTTTCAACATTGACAAGAAATCTTGTCAGCCACATTTAAGTATTTTTTACAATTCGTTGACCTTCTCTAAATAGACTATTTCGCAAAGTTTTCTAATGCACATGGGCTTGTTTATCCCATGACCCAAAAAATTTCACTTTCATGAATATTTTCACAAATCGATCAAGTGGGCAGCAATTTTTTCAAATTTCTTTCAAATAATACCAATTGACTTATTTGTAACTTAATGCGATGCAGATGTGGAAAATGTGCAAATTTTTATTGCTACTACTAATAAGATTATAGGTCTGGTATTCCGCAAGCCCGGTTCTTCTTGTGACCTTTTATTACGGCAAACAAATTGCTTTATCAAGTAGGCTACAATAACAAGAAGATAATGACGATTTGTGATTTACGTTTTCCATTCTCTCGTCGAAAAGGACAACATGTGCTTTGTTTCGGTTCACAGATCGAAAAGAAGGGGTAGGAAACTTCCGCTTAACCGTCTGTTAATCGGTAAAAGAGCGGTCCAGAGGTCTATTTTTCGTTTTTAAAATGATGAACATCATCGTAGTGATGTTTCCAGTCCAAATTTTCGGCATTATATAAACATAACTTAACATGCATCATATTTCCGTCTCGAAAAGAACATACAAAATATGATAGAAATTTTGAGTAAGGTGAACAAAGTCATATTAACATCATAAATATCACAAACAATTTTATTGACATAAATATAAAGGAAATTTCCAACAAGCCGGTTACTGTGTATTTTTCGTTCCATTTCAGCCAGCACAGGACCTAGTGGGTCTCTCATTATACTACCCTGTTCAAGAAATGAGGTGAATTTTTCACTTGTGCCAGCATTTTTTCACTTTTTGGTATGTCCTTGTGCTCTCTCCGCATCCTTTCATGAATATCTTCATCTTGGAAAAAAAAAGTCACGGGAGGCCAAAACTGGTGAAAACGGTGGCTGAAGCATGATTACGGTGTGATTTTTATCCAAAAAATAATGAACAAGCGATGGCGAGTGAGTAGGGGCACCATCGTGATGCAAAAGCCATGAATTTTGTTTCCACAATACCGAACGTTTTGTTGTATTGCTTTTCGCAAGCGGCGCATAACTTCAAGATAATACTCCTTATTGACCGTACGACCACGTGGTGAGAACTGATGCACTATGCCACGGTTATCCAAGAAAATAGTGATCAAAATCTGACATTTGATCAAAGTTGGCGTGCTTTTTTTGTCCAATTTCAGCAATTTTTGAACGAACTTCACTGATACACTTTTTATGCCCAGAATGTCCGAAAAATATGAATGGCATGAGCCAATCGATATGTCGACATCCTCAGTAACTTCTCTAATAGTGATTGGAACGGTGGCTGAAGCATGATTACGGTGTGATTTTTATCCAAAAAATAATGAACAAGCGATGGCGAGTGAGTAGGTGCACCATCGTGATGCAAAAGCCATGAATTTTGTTTCCACAATACCGAACGTTTTGTTGTATAGCTTTTCGCAAGCGGCGCATAACTTCAAGGTAATACTCCTTATTGACCGTACGACCACGTGGTGAGAACTGATGCACTACGCCACGGTTATCCAAGAAAATAGTGATCAAAATCTGACATTTGAATCGAAGTTGGCGTGTTTTTTTTGTTCAATTTCAGCAATTTTTGAACGAACTTCACTGATACACGCTTTATGCCCAGAATGTCCGAAAAATATGAATGGCATGAGCCAACCGATATGCCGACATCCTCAGTAACTTCTCTAATAGTGATTGGACGATTATCCATCACAATTTTCTTCACTTTCGGCTGTTGATGTGCTGGGACGACCAGGCCAAGCGTCGTCATTCATATCTTCTCGACCTTCTGTGAAATCGCCGAACACGCAAAACGATTCTTACTTTTATGCCTCTCCCCAACAAACTTAATATGCTAAACTGGTGGAACTGTAAACATATGTTCGAGATGAGAGGACCAATAGTCCGGTCAATTTAGACATTTGAAGCTACCTAAATTCCCACCAAGCTGAAAATCAGTAAGATTGTTCAAAATATGATTAAAAATAAAATTTCAAAGTTCCCCATCTCTCCCCTGTATGGAAAAAATGTTATCCAAGGTCAAAGGTCAAAAAATGAGTTTTTCGCGATTTTGAGCAAAACGACGGTTTTATCATAAAAATACTTCAGACAAAAATTGTAGATCATAAAATTATCTACAAAAAACGTATTAATACTTTTTTCCTACGAGCCACCGTTTTTGAGATATAACGATTCAAAAAGTTGTAAAAGTTGTAATCGTCATAATATGCACACGTTTCCACGCCACCTATGAGGTAGTGTACTTAGCGCGTTTTTTTAACGTGGTTTCCCCAGCAGGCCTATTCCTCGGGTCAGTTGTGATCCTGTTCAATTTGAAACTCTTGCAAAATATTGGATTTTAGCAGAGATTGAAAAGATAAAAGCAATTTAAGTTAAAAAAAAGTAGTGAAATTTAATCGTCCCAGTCGTATTCTTCTGGGTTCTTCTTCTTGATCTTCTTGTTCGTCTTGTTCTTCTTCATCTTCATCCTGAGTACATGTAAACTGCTTTAATAGCGATGTAGGTATCGCATGTCGCCTCGTTGGAATCAAACAGATCCTCCACTGAGGTTTTCAGCCTCAGCCGTGAAAGTCTAAACCATTTTGTCAAAGATCCTACACTGTTGGGAGTTTAATATTTCTTTTTTCACTACTGGATTTATTGCCTTTTGACCAAGAGATTTTCGACCAGATTAATAGTTTTGATCGCAGGAATGCTGGGGAACAAACTCTTTACATCGAATGAAATCGATTTGACATTAACCGGAAGAGTGATATCTTGAATTTCATCGATCAATTATTGCGGTTGTGTAAACCTTTCATAGTGATGATCAAAATAAATCTCATTAGCAAGTTTTAATATGGATTTTCATTATCGGCCAGTTCCATTCAAATTTTGAACATATACAGTGTCATCCCCAAAGTATGCACCATATGGGAAACTTATTTATAAAGGGTTTTTCAACAAAAAGTTGTTTCTGATAAAAGTTTGTGCATCCCCTAAAACTAAACATGATAGATAGATAGATAGATAGATAGATAGATAGATACCAACGAAATACAGTAAAACACACGTAAATTACGAGGAGCTTTCAAATATTTTATTTTGAGACAAGAGTAAAGTACTCTTATTTTGGAAAATCTCGGGAAATGTTATTTAGAAAAGTTGGTCAGCATTGAAAAATACATCTTCATTTGAAGTCATGGCCATCTAAGTGAATTTAATTTTTTATACCCATTTTTTTGAAATGGGGACTACGAAAAAATTTTTGCTAAAACGATAAATAGACAGCATCCTGTATACGACGGTCTATTTTAAAAGCCTACAATATTACAAATTACACAACTATGGTGTTAACCACGGTCAATTTTTTGAAAAGTAAAATAATTTTCAGTTTTTGGTGCAAAGTTATTTTTATTTTTTGTTAACAGCGAAAATTACTCAAAATTACACAGTATTGTTACAAGAACTCAATAAACAATAATATCAAATCACAAAACATCAAAATAAAATAGGTATTTTGGAACAAACTCATTGATTTTCTGGGAATTATTTTTGGAGAATTATTTTGGTCAACAAAATCTCCAGAAAATCAATGAATCAAATATTTGAAGGCTCCTCGTATATTACGTGTGTTTTACTGTATTTCGTTGGTGCATGTTTAGTTTTAGGGGATGCACAAACTTTTATCAAGAGTTACATTTTGTCGAAAAAACCTTAATAAATAAGTTTCCCATATGGTGCGTATTTTGGGGATGACACTGTATAAACACAAATGAAATTTGTTTCATACGAGTGGGTCCACAGTGGTTTTTCACCGTTCCAGTTTCTATTTCCACTCAATTTCAATTCGATTTAATCAGAATATGTCATTAAATTTGATTTAATTATCTTGAGATTGAGACAAAAAGACTAGTTGAGGAAGGAAGTTAATGAGGAAGTTAATGATTCAGACGAAATTGTGGATGAAGAACCAATGCAGACTGGAAATAATATTGGAGACGAAGAAGGTGATGGTCTTGAAGATTTCGAAGATCAACTATAGAATTGGGAAGGTTTGTCAAATCTAACGATGAAGAAATGTCATCAAAGAGACAAAAACTAATGGATAAGTGATTAAAATTCAAAATTCAAGATAAGGTATGTATAAACAACAAGATTAATGTTTTTAAAACTATTATAATCAATAACGTAATCAAAATGAAGTATCTAAATTCAATAGTACGAATTACATGTATATTTATATTTTATGAGATTTACTATGACATGAATGTAATTAGAATTGAATAAATAAACTTTTTAACTGAACAGCAATCACATTTTTTAGATAAAATTGTACATGATGATTAAAAAAAAATCGAATTTGAGTTTTTTTCGATTTTTCACATTTTCTGAGAACGTTTACTATAGTAATGTATATTTTTTACACCATCAAAGCAAAATATCAGCTTTTTGAAAAAAGCTGATATTTTGACGCGATAATTTTCTATTGAAAATTAGGGTGCTTTTTTGATATTAAGTCAAAATAAGGCGAAGAAATAAATATTTTAAATCAAATAAATTACAGTGTATTTGGGACATAAAAAAGGTAAGTTTTCACCAAACTTGAAAAAAAATATTTTTTTTTAAGATAAAAATAAAAAACCAAAAACTTGGTTATTGTAATTTTTCACATTAATTTTGAGGTTATGTGAAAAAATTGTGAATACAAAAGTTGTAAATCTTTTTATTACCTACAACTTTGCCATTTAACTTTTTCTATAGGACTTGTAGTGTTGCCGGAAATCAAGATAAACCATTTTTTACCCTTAAAAACTGACTCCTTCCACTTCCCGAACTCAGATCGCCCGTAATTTATTTTTCCTTTCATTTTTATCACATTTCCCTCCTTTTCTAATAGGTTTCATCCTACTATTAATTTTTTCACTTTTTAGCATTTTTGAAGGCTTCAGGCCCTGGTCTACCGCTCTTATTGTGTACACACGCGTATCAGATACATAACTTATCAGCACTCGCTGACGCGATCGACACACCTCCTACTTAAATTTATAAAATAATGCGATTCAACCATTCTCACTCAGTCGAGTCAGTACACTAGTCACCTAAAAGTGGAAACGCGCTCGTCAAAATGATAGACAAGAGTTTTGTTAATGTTTTGTTGTTGGGATTATCCTTCATGTTGATATTCACCGCCTTCCAAACCATGGGCAACATCGAGGCAAGTATTCATTCAATAAATCATTGAAGACTTACTAGATTTTTGAATACCGCAATGTATACAGTGTGTGTCGCATTGAGCTTTCAGTGGAAGTTAAAGATGAATATAGTTAGGGAGCTAAACTAATTTGGTATTCAATAATCATATTGAAAGAAAGTTTTTGGCTTTCTACTACTCCATCTTGATACAAAAAAAAGGATGAGGGAGTCTTCCAAAGAAAAGAAGGAAGTAACTCTATACATGGATGTGTAGATCATGCAAAAAAGTAACTTTCAGACACAAACTGAAANAAATCTCGCGGGATGACCTACTCAAGTGACACTTTATTGGTGAAAAATCTCATTTCGAAGTGTTAATTGAATTAAAAAAAAATAAAAAATATGGAATATATACCAAGTGGTTCCGAAAACAATTTTATTGACAGAGTTACTCTCAGTAGAAGATTTTGGAATGTGTTATTTCATTATTGAATAGTTATCAGGATTCAGTATCCTAAACAGACTGTCATTACAAAAATCTCTTCTTTTTATAATCCTCCAAAAGGTTTGCTACCCGAAGATCTAGGAATTCTAGGCCTTAAACGATGTAAAATCTCTCATATGTAACCTCTTTGAAAATATATATTTCCATTTACTTGCTGATATTCAATAAAACACTATATATTTTTATAGTATACCACTTATTTTTCGAAGTTTATGCTGAAGTTCAATGAAGTTCAATGTTGAAAATAATATATATTTTTTTCAATAAGAAATCACATCTCAAAAATAAAATAGGGCGTATTTCAATATCAAGAAAAAATTGTTCCAAAATATCTCCAGAACAAAAAAGACTCCTCAAATAAAATTTCTTCGAAAATATAGACGATTGAATAGATCCATTTTTTTATGCTATTTTTGGCATAACTTCTGAACCCTCCGGTATATACCCAAACAGATCTATATCTTCTAAAAGCTTCAGCATCTCCAGCTCCTAATGGAAACTCGATGTGGCACACACTGTATAGTTTTTTCCTCTTCAATTGAAATTGAGGAGATATCATCATGAAAGTAAAATTTGAATCATTCAGTAGCGATAGTGAGCGACTGGAGTATCTGTTCCGCGTTTTCTCTTATTAGGCAGAGTTGGACTAAGGAATATTTTGCAACGGTCCAGTTTTGTCAGAATTCTGAAAGAAGAATTCCAAGGCTGTAACAAATTTGACTTAGGTTTTTGCCAATCATTTCTATATATGATTAGTAAAACCTAATGTTTCATCAATTAGAATACCTACACATCTTATACTCTTATACAATTAGATGACAATATTTTCTGTTGATTCATAATTATATTAACAAGCTTATAAGTACTCCGATTCGTCCTGAAACACAGAATTTGTT